TGGAAGAGGGCTTCAGTCCGAAAGCTTCATATATATATAACGATTTTTTCATATATATATATATAACGATAATTACTTCAGAAAGAAAATACTAACTATCTATTTGAAATAGTGTTTTAGTAATTCTTGAAGTCCTATTAAATGAAATTACACGAACAATAATACATAAAAAGATAATTTAAAAAAACATTTTCAATAAAATATGATTAAATTTTACCATGTTTGGTGGTGGGGGAGGCTTTAGCGAGAAAGCTTTAAATTTTTCTATTACGAAGAAATTAAGAGTTTTTTCCAGCTGCGCAATACCAATCTTGAAACCACTTTGCTCATTCGGTAGTTACACATGATTTTAATTCAATATTGAATATATATTGTAGCTATATTTCAAACATAAATTAATTTTACAATAGAGCTCATCTAAAAAATATAAATCGTAGAAAATGTAAAAAAAAAAAAAAGATCTTATTGGTCATGTTTTTTTTTTTTTCATTTAGTAGAATATCTAGAAAGGTTTCAAACAACTATAGGTTTAAAACGCTATATCAATCAAAAACTGTGTAAATTTTGTGTTATTCGCGAATCAAATACTAAATTCATCGTAACACTTTATGCAGCTTAATTTTGGGAAAGTATGTTCTATGCATAAATTATAAAGGCTTCAAAGGGAAGCCTTTAGCCAAGTTCATTAAAACCATTACACCCGTTTTGGCGATAGTGTCTGAAGAGTGTTTCGTGTTTTCGAAACGAAAAGCCAAATCATAATAAAGTTTATATAAAAATACTCTTAAATTCAATTGCAACGTTATATCAAAATTTGAAAGAAATCGGTGAAGAACTTTTGGAGATTAGCTATTTTGAACAAAGTGACATTAATATTTTTATTTATATTAATTATTTCATATTTTTATTTATTGATAACACTAAACATCATCAATCGCTACTAAAAGAAAAAAGAAAACAGAAGAGAAAAAGGGACAGAATTATTTGCCATATATATATATACATATATATATATATATATATATATATATATATATATATATATATATATATATATATATATATATTAAAAACTTATGTATTCTTGCTTCATGCCTAATGAAGGTAGGGATATTTTTGGATGTGTCTGCTGTCGATGCCAGAAATCGGGTTTACCATCCAGTACCTTAATCTAATACTGATGACATTATTACAGACTGATATGGGTGGTACTGATTAATGGACGAGGGAAGATAATAAATTTTATCAAATTCCATCCCATATTGTTGCTTGCAGATCTTTCTACGCCTATATCACTAAAACGGCTGAATCCTTTTGATGCCTAAAAGGATGGAAATAATTTTAAAAATTACAAAAATAAAAAGAAGCGATTTTTAACTGGAATGAAATTAAATGCTAATATTATAACTATTCAAATTACTTTGATACAAAAAGAATAAAATGGAAAAAGGTTTTCTGAATCAGTTATTGCGGCCTTTGAGGCTCAATTTTTTCTTGCATTGCTTCCTTTGATGGTCTCTTCCTTTTTTGGAGAATCCTTTAAAAGGCAATTCTTCATTATTGCTCTTCCTTTTCGGCGCAGGCTCCCCAGCTCTTGAGGTCTAACACTTCACCGCTCCTCAATGTGGAGATCTTCAACATCGGAGAATAGTCAATCACAAATACCAAAGTAATATTTATATAAAATATTTTAGCATTAACATTATAATTGTCAAAAGTTTTTGTAATTCTTGAAATCCTCATACAAGATTGAAACGACAAGAAACTGCTAGATGTTTCAGACAGATGTTTTAGACTGCTCCAACGCTTATCAGCTAATTTCTCTAAACTTCCTATTAAAAGATTCCATTACATGAATTTAATAATAGTCCGTGGCACAGACTCCTTTTTATCAAATTATTAACATCCGACTGAAACTTCGTAAATAGCTTCAGAATAGAATAAAATAGCTTTCATCGTAACCTACAACTATTTTATTTACGAAAACTCATGGAATTGGGGCGTTTTCAATCTGGAGATCGGCAAACTTTGTATATTTAATTATATACTAAAAACTCGTAAATACCTATTTGCTTTCCAGTTGGATCGTAAGACAATTAGATCACAAAATCGAGAAAAAATTTGTACTACAAAAATATTGGGCTGTGTGACCTACATAACCTCATTATTTTGACATTTTGCGAGTGGAGGTCACGCCAAATGGCTCAATATTTTTGAGGTCCACATTTTTTCCGATTTTGTGCTCAAATTATCTTATGATTTAAGTGGAAATCAATTGGTATTTACTAGTCTTTAGTACCTAATTAATGCGTAAACTTTGCCGAACTTCAGATTGAAAACGCCCAAATCTGAGAATTTTCGTAAATAATATATTTGTATATTACGATGAGATGAAGCTATCCACGAAGTTTCAGGCGGATGTTAATAATGTAATAAAAAGGACCACGGACTAAAAAGCTTCGTTTCTCTTCGCTTATATGGGTAATATAGTGATTAACTAAACCAACAATATTAATAATAGAAAAATAATAACTTTTGAATTTCTAAACTAAGCCCAATATTGAGCAAAGGCATCCCTCTCCCTCTCCCCTCCAGAAATTTCTGCCTATCTGCTCATGAAATATTCTGAGACTCTTCTCATCCAGTTGACGCCTGCTGCCTTCGTTATATCTATTCTCTACCTCATCAGCTGCCTGCCTCTTCTTTTTACTATCAATTTTCCTATACATGAAATATATAGGTAAGGAACAGTGTTGCGATCGTGAAAATTTTCTGAAAAATCGTGAAAAATCGAATCTGATTTTTCAAAGGAATACATGTTTTTTCTCTTGAGTCCAAATAACCAAGTCACGCAAAATGGTCTGCGTGTGTAAGTATGTATGTAACAGGTCTGGCTTAAAAACGAAAAATGGTATGAAAGTAAAATGGATATTTGAGTTTTTTTATATACCTGAGATATTATAACTTTTTTGTCAAAATCGGCTTTACGGAAGTGGGGATTTATATCATCGATGAAACACATTCTTACTATTTTCTCGAAAGTGGCTCCAACGATTTTGATTTAATTCATTACATCACTGTAAAATTAGGCAGTTTTTAATATTATATAAGTTTTATTCTCATTGATGTTTATCTAACAGAGCTTAATTGGCTAAATTGCAATATTAGCTTCCTCTAAAGTACCTTTAATTTTTTTTATTTGAAACAATTAACCATTTCACGTTGATTTCTAAGATGAAATATAGTTAAATATAAAATATGAAAGAATTTGATAATTAAAATTAGAGATCTTAACAGAGAATTACGTAACATGATAAGACTCGACAATATTATGTACATATAAATATGCGGTTTTCATAAATGTTTTCATTTTTATCATTTAATATTTAATTGTATAGCTTACAGTTATATAACTATTAAAATTTGTGTATATAAGGTTACATAAACAAATAAAAATATCCACAATAAAATATAAATAAGTATTGCGTTTATTTACTTTCACTTCCCCTTTGTCTGAAAATACTTATTTCTGCTGCGAAGAGAGTGATAAGTGAAAGTTGTGTGATGCGCGCGCCACACAAGATTTTTCCAACAGTGGGTGGTCTGCATTCCGTCACTTGATTCGTCCATTTTTCATTATTTCTAATTTTAAAATTATTTCTTTAATGTCTTTAATTTAACTTTGGTTGAGAGACTCATCCTCCATCGAAGCCTTCATAAGTGAGAGTCGACATGAAACATGTTACGAAAACTTTAGCCTTTGAGTGAACAGATAAATTACCTTTAATAATTAATTTAAGAACTAATATTTTTTCCATGAGGTCGATATCCGCCTACCTATTTCCTTATATTGAAGGTGATAAACTGCCAAAGTATAAAGCATCTTCCACAGAAACTATCTTGTTTTCTGATATAACTAATGCTCCTTACTTAGAATTACCCACAAACACAGGCGGATCCACGGGGGGGCTTTCAGACTGAAGCCCCCCCCCACCAAAAATGGTAAAATGTAACATGTTTTATCGATTATGACATTAATGTTGTTCCATATGTTTCCGAACCGATATTCCATAATAAACATCAGACCCATCCAAACACAACATTTTCTAATCTTTCATCCTCCTCGATTCATTTCATCTTCAAATCGTCAGAACCTCTAATTCAGGTTTGTTTCACTTTAATTAATTTATTTGTTGTTTGTTTATTAAATACAGTCATAAATGTTAATTTTTCTTTTCTTCATATTTTCATCCACAGCTCTCATAATCTTGACAATAATCAGATATGTTGTTATTGTTATGAAATTTGCCATTTTTTTACAGGAGAAAAAGTAGTGCCCAACAGCAGCTCTTCCTGGTCTTGGTTTAATTTCGTAATTTAGGAAAGGATCCAGCTCCTCTTTAGTCGTCTCCTGATGGGCATGTCTGCTGTGGCCATGTTGTTGATAAGTCCACTGTGAAGTACGTGTAGTTTAAGATGAAATCGGGAGCAGAGATTACGTATGTGTTGGGTTTATAGCTAGTTGTCGCAAGTCGATAAGTAAAGTTTTGTTAATGAGGTACCCGGGAGCTGCTGTTATTAGTCTTAAAATTTTGGATTGAAATTATTGTAGTTTTTGTAAGTTCGTCTTTTTTTCAGAACCGTGAGTGTGCGTATGTAGTTTTGTCTGATTTTCAATTTTGATTTGGAAAGAAGTGAATATAGTACGTCGCTTGTTCAAAGTTATTCGTTTTATTTTGACATGTAGGCCCCAACGTGTCCTTCCGTTGAATCTTAACTCGAGGTAACATACAGTATCCGTCAGAGGAATTTGGTTGTCATTGATATAAACTGGTGTGCATTTTTCTCGTCGATGTTGTAATTTTTCATGGTTTGATCTAATTTCCCAAAGTGAATAGCAATTTTGTTAATTCAGTAAGGCTGGTCTAGGGTCGTCGTGTTTTGTTAAAATTGTTGTAAAATATATTATTACTATTATTTCTTTATCTCCCTCCACACAGATATCTACTGTAGTGGTAGAACCTTACAACGCAGTCTTCTCAACCCACGCTACAATGGACCACTTCAACGTCTCCTTCATCGCAGACAACGAGGCGCTCTACAGGATATGCCAGAACCACTTGGATATAGACTCGCCTACTTACAAGAATATCAACAGGCTCGTGGCGCAGGTTGGTAGCCGATTAAATATTTTTAATAAAGTTGGAAATTAAATATAAATATAAATTAGGCCAATCATCATCAACATTTTATCGATACGTTATTTAATTCGACGTTTCGACCATACTAAGGGTCATTTTCAAGTCTTGATGAGTCCTCCGTTATATATCCACACATATATTATTACAGTAAGGCTCGAAATCGGTTTGTACTAAATATAAGCTCCTGTCAGGCTCAAATACCATGAATGGGGCACCGTTTGATTCAGAATTTCACGGGGGGTTAGCGAATCGTATTCTCCACTTTTGTTTTTCTTTCTAAAATAAATAAAGTCGATACAAACATTTTTCTAGGCTTCGATACAGGAACGGTGGTAGGTCTGTAGATCGATGCGAGACAAAGTGGACCTTGAAGATTTTGATGCGTACAGCAAGACCCGGATAGTTCCTCCGGAACTATCGCATCCTGCGTTTGCTGTCTTGCTGTACGCATCAAAATCATCAAGGTCCAATTTGTCCCATATCGATCTACAGACCTACCACCGTTCCTGTATTGAAGCCCTTAGTATGGTAAAAGTTTATCAATAAAATTTTGGTGGTAATTGGCCTAATTTATGTAAAAAATAAAACCTCAAGACACCAATTTTAGGAAAAATGAACAGAATAAATATAAATAAATAAGAAATATATCTGATATAATTAGAAATATTATTCAGAATATAAAATATGAGACTGTTCAATAATGAAACTGATGTAGTAAATCAGTGATTGGTTGATTGATGATTAATCTGTGTTTGATGCAAGGTCCTTGATTGATGATTACTCTGTGTACCTCAGGCGATCAGTACTATCACTTCGAGCATACGTTTCGGCGGCCCGCTGAACGTGGACCTCCAAGAGTTCCAGACGAACTTGGTCCCGTACCCCAAGATCCACTTCCCCTTGATGGCCTACGCGCCGGTGATCAGCGCGAAGAACGCGTCCCATGAAGCGCTCACGGTGGTGTCGATGACAAGGTCCTGCTTCGAACCGCAGAACCACATGATCAACGTCAACGCCCCCGTCAGGAAAGGTACGTCATGATGTTTCCTATGAAGCGGTACGTACGACATGTCCTAACAGGTCCCGTTCGCAGGATGGCTACCCGGAGACCGCATCCTGGGGCAGTACATCGCCTGCTGCCTCCTCTACCGGGGCAACGTGGTGCCGAAGGAGGTGAACGCCGCCATCTCCTTCATCAAGAACAACCGCAGCATCAGGTTCGTGAGCTGGTCGCCGACCGGGTTCAAGGTGGGCATCAACCAGCAGCGGCCGGTGGAGGTGCCCGGAGGTGACCTGGCCGGAGTGGACAAGTGTGTCTGCCTCCTGGCCAACACCACTTCGGTGGCCAAGGCCTGGACCGTCCTCAACCACAAGTTCGACCTCATGTTTGACAAGATGGCCTTCGTCCACTGGTACGAGGCGGAGGGCATGGAGCTCATGGAGATGGAGGATGCCAGGTCAGTCCAATCTTGTCTAATTGCATACATTAACTGTATTCATTGTGTCTCGTGAATAGAGGCAAAAATAAAACTTCGAAAATTAATTTTTGAAGGAAGTGAGTCTACTGTTATATATCATGTTTGATAAATACTCAGGATACAGTCATTATAAAGTTTTTTCATTGGTGCCGACGTTTCAGCCCAAACATGTGGGTCATCGTCGGGTCGTGTTTCGAGCACTGAAGTACTTTAACTGTTACTGACTACTTGAATACCTTCTTTACTCGAAACACGCCCTGATGATGATCCACAAGTTCGGTTTGAAACGTCGGCACCAATAAAAACTTGATGACTGTGTCCTGAATATTTATCACCTTTGAAAAGTAATAATTAGAACAAGAATAGTTGGGGTGATCAGTCAAATGAGAAGGCAAAAATAAAGATAATATTTATTTTGTCATTTGCCGACGTTTCGACCTGAAGTTCAGGCCATCACCATCAATCTTTATTATTTCATACTTTGTCTGCACATATTAATAGACTTTACAACATCTCAATTTTCTATCTAAATATTCTATTCACGATATCTTAATTTTACTATTTATTTCCATTTCTCATATAACTTCATATTTTTCTGTTTTACATTTTATTCTAAGATTCCCTTTACAATACTTATGTCTCTTGTTCTTACTATTGCCATTATTCTAACAACTTCATTTTACTGTAACTTTTATGTTTCTCATACCTTGTTATCTGGTTCTTTTCTTAGCCCTGATGATGGCCTGAACTTCAGGTCGAAACGTCGGCAAATGAGAAAATAAATATTATCATTTATTTTTTGCCTCCTTATTTGACTGATCACTCCAACTATTCTTCTTCTCATTATTCACGACTGTCAACTATTTAACCACTATTTTGAAAAGTAATATGTCACAATTACGCTATGTATTTATACAGAGTATCCAATAAGTAGAGGGAAATTTGTATAGACCTGATAGCAAATCTTAAGAGCTACAAAAAAAAAAAAAAAAAATATATATATATATATATATATATATATATATATATATATATATATATATAAACAATGGGTCAAATTCTCAGTAGAAAAGTAGGAAATCCAAGTTTTGTGTTTTTTTAAGTGAAGTGTGTGTTTTATTGAATAGGAAGCGATAACTAAAAAACGCTGCTAATTATTTCACAATGGTTTATTATTTCCAAACAATTATACATCTAAAGTAAAATTACCTTCCGAGTTACAAAGAAAAAAAAATAAAAGGTGATTCCAATTATTGGACTAAACTTTTTTTTTCAATCATTAGTAATATGCTAAAAAAAACAATAGTATTACTTCAGTAACACATTCAAAATTTAAAAACCAAACACAGGATATAACATTTAGAGTAGAACATATAAAAACAAATTAGAGACCATATCTTTGCTCCTAATTGTCCGATTTTAAAGATTTTTTTTTTTAGGAAATTCCGTAAACTTTCAAAAAAAACATTTAAAGCGCGTCAGAGAAAATGACTTTAGCGAAGTTTCATTGAAATGGTACATTCGTTTAGGAACTACAATCTATAACAACGCAGGTTTTTCGGCCACCATTTTGAAAGTAAAAGGCGGATAGTAATGTCGATGAAGGAGGATCATCCTCGGGTGACCTCTGATTTAAAATCCACATTTGACAAAAATCGGTCCAGTAGTTTCGGCGAAAATGCGCGGACTGCGGACGGACAAAAAATTGTTTATTCTTTTTTCGAATTCTACACATCATGAAACGTGAAACCTCAAATTTTGAGAGGGGGTTATGTTTTTGAATTTTTTGGTCGATCACGATGGTTGATTATTGAAAATAATAGTTTAAATTAAAAAATTGTTTTTCATTTGTAAAATCATTTAAAGAGGACTTTTGAGCAGCTAAACTAAGTTAAGTTCCGTTGTTAGAAAATCATAAATTATTCGCGATTCTTTTTTATCATCATCCAACTATACTACAGGTACTCCACTTTTAGAAAAACTCTCTTGTTTAATAAGTTTTAAGTCCATATCAATTAATTTGAGGTTTATTTAAGATTCACCGTAAGTTGTGTAAAAAAATAGTATGATTTTTTCATCAGAAATAATTACAGTTAGCTGTTGCAAAGCTTTTATTTTTTGTTTTCCATGATACGGGATGTATTATAATAAAAGAAATTACTCAAATATAGTTTTATTTATAAAATTACAAATAATCGTTTTTCAAATATATTTCGGGTAAAGTGGCTGAAAAACTGAGGTTTTCACCCGGGTTTCTATTATACAAAATGTTCCGTATTTATAAGTTACAAACTTAATGTTCCTGATCCTAATATTTACGTTTTCGTGAAAATAATTATCTCCACGAAATGGAATAAGTATACAGTAATTAAATAATTATTTAATTAGGAGTAGCTCTTTGAATGTGCCCCAGGAGGGTCTCCCGAACGCATTGTCGATTCACGGCTGATGAAAAATTACCAGTCATCAGCCGGATTCGAATCCTGATAGTTTGCCTCCAAAAACTATCTTTGGTACACATGTCTGCTTAAACCCGTACGATTATAGGCAGTGCATTTTTTTATAGACATTTAGCGCCCTCAGACAATAAAATCATTTCCCCCCAAAATTTAATTTATTTCTTAAGTTGTTTTTATATGTAATAATTGAATTTTATATCATCCAATATGTCTCTAATTCATATGAATTATTAATAGGCTAATTAATTATTCTGATAGTCTTTGCAATTGTTTTTTAATTCTAACAAGTGACGAACGACACCTCCATTGTCGGTGCCCCGGGGCAATTGCCTTGAACTAAGACAATATTTTCATATTCTCTTTTGCAGTGCTTTTTATTATTATTTGAACGTAAAAACTTCAACCGGCTCATAAAGAATGTTTATAACTTAGATTTTTAGATAATAATCGATTTTTGAAAGAAAAAAAAACGGAATTATCGACAGCACAATAACAATCAAGGACTATTATAATTGATATCCTGATTAAAATGTGAAATAATTTACAATCACGTTAGGAATCGATGGGATTTCTGTCTTCTTGTGATTGTGACGTGCAATTTTTTTCCGAAGGAATTAGTTCGATTTGAACGCAAAAAAATGCCAGTTGATTACGTCTAGAAATTAAATTTTATAAAAATAATGGAATCATTCTTTCCGTTATTAGACGCTTTAAATATCTTCTTATACAAGAGTAAACCGAATGCGAAGAGAGTATAAGCTGTAAAATATTTCTTCTAACTAGAGAGAGGCCTGGGAAGCTCCCTGCTGCATTAATTTACGAGACACGTTAACGACTTTGGGTTCTAGATAATTATTTCAAGAAGCTCGAAGGTGATTGGCTGGGACCGGAGGTTAAATATCAGCTAATGGGAAGATCCCTGATTTACGACCGGCAATGCTGATTAATGCCTTCGGTAGTGACTGCAGACGGGTTTATGTCAGTTTTTCTTTACAATTATTCTCTTTACATGATTTATAAAAGATATTTTGTCCACAGTTTGGTTGGATATAAAATAACAATAGCTATGATTTTTTTCTATCCTACCTCGCAGTTTCGGCTATAGTGGGTGGTGAATTAATACCACAGTTAAATTCCTCTGACACTGAAACTCAAGTACGTAATCTTCAGGTTATCAGATTGTAGAGGATGACTTCTTCAAAGTCAACTAAAATATACATTTAAGTTTATCACATACCAGACTGAAACGACAAGAAACCGCTCGACGTTTCCGACTACTCCAACACTTACTAGACAAACGCTCTAAACTTCCCCTTAATTACAAAAGACTCATATACTTGACTATAATAAGACCTATTTGGACTTATGGAGTTGAGCTATGGGGCTCCACTAAACCATCGAATTCCTCTCGCATTCAATCCTTACAATCCTTCGTAAAATCCTCAATGCTCCTTACTTTGTCACTAATAAAATAATCCATAAAGACCTCAATGTTCCATATGTTTCCGATTTGGCCAAATCCAGATACCTATCCTTCCATAATAAACTTCATAACCATCCGAATCCTCTTGTTTCTAACCTTGCTTCCTCTTCGATTCCTGATAACCCTCCGAGGCGTCTGAAAAGAAGATGGCCTCGTGATCTCCTCATGTAGACAAATTATTAGAGTGCTACCAATGGGTGGTTTCTCAACAAGCGTGTTTCATGTAATAATATTTCTCTGTACAAATTTACTTGATGTATTTATACTAATACAGTTGTAAATATCATAATAAAAGTTAAAAAAAAAAAAAAAAAATGTATCACGGCGCTTACGTTCTATCTATATAACAGAAAGAACAATTATTCATCAAATCATAAATCTAGGATCTACGATAGCTAAAATACGAAATTGAAGAGGATCTTAAGATTATGTTAAAGGCAGGAAATACTTGTTGATTTTCTATATACTGAACTACTTAGCTCGCGTCTTCTGTCCTGAAATCTAAACATTAGAATTTACAAAAATACTTTTGTCCTCCTTTAATTTTAAATACTACCTCCCTAGCTATAGTGGCCGCTGACATGAAGGGATGAGTAAGGTCTTAGGGTTTTTGAAAATAAAATATAATGTAGAATACTCACACCGAAGAAAGAATGTAAATTCTATTCTGGGGCATTTTGTCCCTTCTGAATAACTACAATTAACAAAGAAATGACATTGTCTGGCGATTGTGAATAATTAAATAACAATTAAAAATAAATTTATTTACAAAGTTTTCTTAATATTAAAATAAAGAAACATGTAAATTTTTCATAATATTAAAAATTCTTAATATTAAAAATAAAAACACTAGTAAACATATGATCTTGAAGTAGACATATCAATTTAAAGATGATTACATACGGGTGAGTTCACGTATTTGTACGAATAAGCAAAATGACACATACATAGATATCTGCAAGATATCGCTATAGTGTAACTGGTTTCTCTAAAGTACGAAATAACTTTATTTTACATAAATTCGGATGAAGAAGGATGAGTTAATCGAATAATTTAGACGGTTACACGACGCCGAATTGTGCGATTAATATAATTGATTATTATTTTTTATTTATTTTTTTTATTTAATGTTGTATCATGTTTGATTTATTCTGTTACTCCAAGCTTTTTTAGTTTTTTTTATTTTGTTATAATCTTGTTTTTCTTTTATTGTATATATGGTATGATTGTGTTTCATTCATCCTAAATACTCAATGCCCTTAATTGAGGCCAAATGTATTTTTTTTCTCAATAAAAATATTTTAAATAAATATAATTGAAGCGTTTACATTAAGGCGAATAATATGTTCATGTAAAATTTCTGAGGTTAGTAAAGAAAGGATCTCTTTAAAGTTTATATTATATTTGCTAAGCCGACTGCTAAACGTCCGAGGTGTAGACCGAAGCGAAGGTGAGAATATTTCGTTTTGGTTGATCTGGAGGAGCTGTGGTTTGGACTGCTTGCAGAGATTAGTGGTGTCGGCATCGAATCTTTGGGTTCGCTAAGCATTTTATTATTATTTATTACTATAATTACTGAAAAATTGTACCTTTTTTTCAGCCTAAGAGCAAATAAGATTTACTTTTCTTCATAACTTTTTTCCTCAAATTTTCTAAAGTTTGTACTTATTTTTCAATACTTCATGAAGTATTGACTTTGGGACGTGTGATATGAATATATATGATATGAATATATATGAATAGATATATTTTATTTAAGACAATAAATACATAATCTGTCTATCTATCAATCTATATATGTATATAAGCACGCAAAGGTATAATAAATATATAGTATAATTTTTACTTTTCAGAGAAACTTTAGCTTTATTGGAGAGAGATTATTACGAGCTGATGACACCAATCGAACCAATTGGAGACAGCTGAGGAATGGACGGTTTTAAAAGGAATTTGAAAATACAAATTCTTATTTTGTAATAAAACATTTTAATTACATGTTTTATTCTTATTGTTATAGAATATAAACTTTTATTCAATTTAATTTAAACGTGACTGAGGTAGTTCATAGTGAAGAATACTTGATTCCAAAAGCTCTACAATGGAGTTGAGTGAAGAATAATTTTAAATAAATAATGTTACATATAAAAATAGGAAGAAATTACGTTATATATCTTTAATGAAAATGTTATGTGTAGTACAACGATGGGGCAGAGTCTAGAAATGTTGATTATGATACCATTTAAAAAAAATAATAATCATAAAATAAATACCCTAATGGCCAGTTTCAATGACCATTGTTAACATTAATTTTACTAACTTTTGTTATTTGTTAAATATCGATTAACGGAATTTTTGTAGCACCAATCTTAATTAGATTGATTACACCTGGTCAAATAATTAAGGTTAGCTATCCGGTCTTGAGATCACGACTAAATCATTAATAAAAGTTTAAGTGTTATTTTATTTATTGTTACTTCTAACTGGAAATGATATTTTGTTTTATCTGCAATAAATCGAGAAAAAAAAATTAATATGATTTAGTCTGAAGAAAATTCTCCATCAAATGATCATTTATTACAACCCATTAATTCGGTAACTAAAAAGAACTAATATCGACAAATGCTACTCTGAGTACTGAGCACCAAGTATTTTAATCAATTATTATCTTTTTTGAATACCAAAGAATTTAATTACTACTTCAGTTGATGTCAAACGATTAACTGAAGTAGAGATTGAATTCCAAATAGTGATTCAATTTGAGTAAAATACTTGGTACTGCGTACTCATTATTATTTTTAGTTCTATAGCGAGTTCTATTATTTTTTTTTTTTTTCATCTTTTTGGCTTTAAGACTTGTTAAAGCAAGTCTTATTTTGCCAATAAAATGTTTTAATTTTTTTTTGTAAGATGAGATCACACTAGAAATTTACTGAACATTTTTAGATATGATTATTGATTGTAAGATGAAATTACACTGGATATTTATTGAATATTTCTAGACATATGATCACTGAATGTAACTTATATAGAACTTGAAGTAGAAAGTAAATTTTGGAAGAAATCACATTTTTGGGAATTTTCATTTTGGAAAAACGGGGGGGGGAAGGATGCTTTATCGTCCCTGAGAGGACACTCCTGATACAAAAGTAAACCCACTTCGACGGTAAAAACATTTATAGTAGTTTTTGCCGGCCCAGCGCAAATTACTGTTAATGTTTTTACCCTTCTTATCATTCTCGATTCTACGATTCTAGTTTTGAATCAGGCTTGGATGAATTGAAAATCTATTTATTGTTTAGTTCGATAAAACATCTAAATTTACCTATTCTCTAGCGTTCTTCTAAGATCTAAAGTAATATGTTTAATTAATATCAATAAGCTAATAGGTAGCTGCAAGACTCTTGCATTTGGGCAACACTACTCACTGCTTAGAATAAATCTATTCTTCTAGAAGGACTCCCTCTCCTGGACGAAGTGAAAAGTGACGATGGTAGGAGGAAAAAAGAGTTTTAACTCTCATTATTTAGTGTACGGAACAAGAAAATAAGTTTAAATTATCGAGTCTGATTCTTTTTTTTTTTTTTTTGTATTAATTAATGTTTTTGTAGACATACCGACCGACGTGAGATAGATATCACAGCACAACAGACAGGTATTTACAGGGGGGCTGTGTATTCAAATAGAGAGAAGAGAGGGGGGGGACTATACACAGAGTCTTAATTGGCAGGCAATTTAAATAGGATTTATCGACGAGCGTGCTCTCTCCGACCTCTGCTGATAGACTATAATCAACCGCGGCGTGTTTACGACCTGGTCAGTTCACGACCCCTCGGCGCTGAATATATATTTTAATTAACACTGAAACAATATCGATTCTTGTTAGTGTCGACAGCTGGCAGTACAAATCGATATTACGCTGAGGAATGGCTACGTCAGAGAAAATAAAAATTACCAAAATAAACAATTTACTTTAACGTATTATGGTTGTAGTTACATTAAGGAATTGTCAAAATATATAAAGAGAGCCTTTAATGATTATGATGTGGAAGATATTCAAAGTTTTAGACCGAAGAACAAAATTAAAAATTATAGTAGTAATTTAAAGGATAAAATAAGAAAAAATATCAAACAGGATTAGTGTTTAAGATACCATGTTTAAATTGTCCAGCAATATACACAGCAAAAAAAAAGTAATATATTAATGCTAGAATGTAAGAGCATCAGAATGACATAAAAAACATGAAAAAATAACATTAAAAAACCATTGGTGCAACATGCTTTCAATAAGGAACATGATTTTGATTTTGATAAAGTTCAAATTCTAAAAAAATAGAAAAATGTTAGAAGCTTAGTATATTACAGAGAACATCGATTATACTGTAAATTTCAAAGCTTATTCAGGGAAAATAGTTCAGAATTATAGAGAAATAATAAGTAAAATTATTTTATAAATTTATTGAAATGCAAAAATAACGAGTTTGGTACTTGTTTAGGTATATTGTTTGGAATAATTTATGTTAAATTTCGAATATAAACCTGGTTTAATGAATTATAAAACTGAATGTCAAAAATAAAATATCTGGTGTGTCTACTAACACGACTTTCCTACCTATTTCAGAAAAGTTTGTATATCTTTACATATGTTCATGAAGAAACAAAAAAGAATTGAACTAGATACATTTTCCTGAAAATTGATCAAACAAAAGATTTGAATACGATTTATTTGATAAACTAAAGCAATGCAAACCGGCTTAAGGTAGATCAGTGTAAAAATTTCAATACTTCCTAATATTGCTGATCAAAAACTTTTTGGCATAGCTTAGCATTGTCAAACAATAATTTCTGTTAAAAGTCGATGAAACAGTGAAGATTGTGTGATGCGGGCAACAGATTTTCTTACTTTCACTTAGTCATCTTTATTCTCTAATTCAACCCTTTCTGACACCAGGATATGAACCCGTAATCTTGCATTGGAAATTGAATAGCTGTAACTTCGTTAATAGTTGTCCAAAATGAACGATTTTTATATGGCTTTGTAGGGAATTTCATTACCTTTCAAACTACATACTAAACGGCATATTATATATATATATATATATATATATATATATATATATATATATATATATATATATATAATAAGTAAAACAAAACAAATTCTTACAACTATCCAAACATGTAAACAAATTAATTTTAAATATTAAATTGGTTCGTTTCACAGTGAATATGTTGACTTTTTACATAATAAGTCATAATTTTTCATTCTAGTCATAATTGTTTTTCTTCTTAATTTTTTTGTCCATCGCTCCCCTCCCCCAATGAAAATCATAATTTTGTGCCTATGAAGTAAATGTGAAATCAGTTTAAGCCTGTATATATATATATATATATAACGTATTCGCTTAGATTAAACATACGGGGGAGCGGAGACTGCCTTGCAGCGTATTGTCACATTTCTAGAGCTTTTTCAGCTAAAAATGAATAATGTAAAAAAGTGAATTTCTTATCCTGTACGACCTTAAATAAAAATACGTTTTTCACAGTTCAACTAGTTTTACGCCTTATTGATTTTAATTTTTTTTACCTCAAATTATTGGAGAAGGGGGGCAAAACGATATTCTCGCCCCCTCAACAGCCCCTCCCCCCATTATCCATCTCCCTCCGAAGTCTCTGCCTATTGTGTGCTTTCGGATATACTAGCGTTGTTTCGAAACTCCACCAACAGTGTGATTCATGGTATCATGAACCAGCAGCCATCTAGGAGTAGTGATTCGCTACTACTACTATTCTGAATATAAAAATCGTAGTAGATTCTGAATAATTTGGACACTCACTGTGTATATCCCATAATTATTTAAATATATATCAAGTGACCTTAATTGGTATAAACAAAACACCTAAAAACAAAATTTTATATAGCGTATAAATAAGTAAAATGAATAAAGAATATTTAAAAAAAATTGTTCGTATGTATTGCAATGGAAAATTATACTGTTGCTAGAACCACCAAGGCATATATAAATCTTAAATATGATATTTCACTTTCGTATAACATTTCCTTTTTGAGTTAGACTTTAACACACACACAGACCATTTTCTCGGTCCAGTCAATTTCCAAAATTTTCACGATCGCAATACTTTTCCTTACTATATAGTTTCATATGAAGGTAAGCGAAAGTAAAAATTGTACCATTACAACCCTTTGAGGGGCTTACAGTAAGGAAGTACTGTTTCAAGGCCAAAGGTGGTGCAGAGCACGAATAGGGCGCCAGATAAGTTCTGAATTAATTATTTAATTAAAAGTACCCACTTTTAAGCTGGGTGTGTTCCAGAAGTGTCTCTTGAACCCAGGGTCAATCCACGACTAGAAAAAATAAATATCTGCCATCAATAGGATTCGAACTCGGTGCCTTCAACATAGGAAGTCAGTACTTTACTCACTGGATTACTCAGCTTTCTTTCTTTACTTAGAAGGTAGCAGAATAAGATCTTCCATACCATATAGATTTATATTTAAGTTTCGGATGTCTTAAAATCACAATCTAATGTTTCACAATTATTATTGCCTGTCTTTCATATAATTTAGTAATCTAATATAAATAGTTAAAATTACTCTGTAGAGATTTATTTTTATCTCAGAACTTGAGCTAAAGCTGAATTTTTTTCTTTTATTTTATTGAGCCATTAGAAAAACAGTTTTTGTTTTTAATTTAATTTGTTGGCACTCTTGCTCAATCTTCACTGGGTTTAGCCCCAGTGACGCGGTTGAGAGAGAAGTGCAGGGATCTCCTGGAGTCATGCTTTTCCCTCCACAGTTGGAGGGACAAGTCTGGTTTGGAGTTCTCTCGCCAGATTGTAAATATTGTATATAGGTATGTATGTGTTCTTTTTATTCATTTGTTTTAGATTATTTTATTCTTATTTATTGTATTTATATTATTTTTCTGTATGATTTATTTTATTTACTGTACATAGAGTGTGAATGCGATCTGTGAACACTATTATAAATGTCCTTGAGACAGATTTGTAATATTTTTCAATAAATAAGCTTAAAACAAATAAAAAAATAAAATTTAATTTTTTAAATAACTGTAATAACAATAACAAAATAATATTGTTAGATAGACACCATACTCCCAATCGAATTTATTTATTTTTCGTGCAATTAAAACATGATCAAATGTTTTTATTTATATATTTTTTTTTAAGTCAATGATCATTTAGTTGAACAATTTATTTCTGCATTACATTAAGTCTGCTTTAATGTAATTAATTCTTAATTAAATTGTATTATATATTTTATTTTATTAAATATATAGATATATAAAAAAATGTTTGATCGATAGAAATAAAAATCAAAAAAGAAAAGATATCTAAATATTCAAATTAAAGGGATGTTAGTTGTAGGAAGGGTAATAAAAACCGACCTAGTCAATGCAGTGTTGCCAATAACTCAATTACCCAGCCTCCCCTAAATGACAACATTGCATCTTCCTTTCACTTTTTTAATATTAACTCTTCTTCAACAGCTAATATTAAATCAACCTATTATAACTTCTCTCTATTCTTACACATTTATGAATCATTTATACTCCGAAATAGTTTATTTAAATAAAATGTATAATCTAATAGAGATGTAGAAATCCAAAGGAATAAATGACAATGTATAATTTTTTTTTAATTCAGTTTTGGCACTAGATTATCACGAGTTAAAAAAATCGTTAAATAAAAATAAATATTTAAGAATGGATTTGGCTGGTTTAGGAATTTAATCCCTTAACATAGGTGAAGTTTTTAAATTCTGCTCTTAACTTATTGATGGGCGTTGGAAATGCATCAGGCAGTTAGTTAACTCATCGATAGATCTATTATTGGATCCACTGGATATAACTTCATTTTAATGTCTGTGTTGTTATTTCTCAATTTATTTAACATATTTATATTCAGTTTACTTTCTATCTATATTTATTTCTATTTTGAAATAAAGAACGCTTCAAATTATTTCACAATGGTTTATTGTTTCCAAACAATTATACAACTAATGTAACATTACCTTCCTAATTACAACGAAAAATAAATAAAAGGTGATTCCAATTAATGGACTTAACTTCTTTTTTTTAATCATTATTAATATGCTAAAAAAATAGTATTACCTAAATGACACATTAAAAATTCAAAAACCAAAACAAATAACATATAGAACATAACCTTTGCAGCAGAACATATAGAAAAAACTAGAGACCATATCTTTCCTCCTAATTGTCCCATTTTAACAAATTTTTCCTTTGTTTTTAGGAAATCCCGTAAATTTTTAAAAATTAATACAATGCAATATCAAAAAAAAAATGTATACTCCTTGAGTTATTCGGAATTTAATTTTACCATCTCTCGTAATTTTTTTCCAGCTTCTTTTCGTTGAAGTATGTTATTTAGATAAATTTAAAGGGTGTCGAAAAAATAACTTTAGCTAAGTTTCATTGAAATCGGTACATTTGTTTAGGCGCTACAGTCTATAGCAACGCAGGTTTTTCGGCTGCCATTTTCAAAAGTAAAAGGCGGATAGTAATTCCGATGAAGGAGGATCATCCTCGGGTGACCTCTAATTTTATGTCCAAATTTGAAAAAAATCGGTCCAGTAGTTTCGAAGAAAATGGGCGGACGGCTATATATAAAATATTTTATAGTATATATATAAAATATTTTTATTCATTTTTCGAATTCTACTTATCCTTAAATGTAAAACCTCAAATTTTGAGAGGGGGTTTGGTTTTTGAATTTTTCGGTCCATCACAATGGTTCATTACTGAAAATAATAAGCCAAAAATTCAGAGGGAAAATATTTCCTTATAATTTTATTTAATCTTTCATGTGTTTTGTAAGCTTGTAGGAAGGTTAAGTTTCCGCTAGAATCAGGCCCTGTCTCGACTAGAGTCTAAAATGGGAGCCTTTTTTCAGGAAAATGTATATACATATATCATTTATTAATTATATAATAATTATGTATGTTTATAGAAAAGTGGTTTCTAGCCGTTTAAATATATGATAATTAACCCAAATTTACAAAATAATTATTTGTGGAACCTAACATACCACGTAACTAGATAACCATAAAATAAGAAATTAAAAATAGGTCTTAAATCCTGAAAAATAAATTTATCACTCAATATAAAAAGTACAAAACACTTCTGTTTGAGGTACATCGAAGGAAATTTAGGAAAATAAACAAAAATATAACTATTATTTTGGAGGTGAACCGTACTGGTACCGGTATAAAACAATAATCTTCGAAAGCCTCAGAGAGGTCCACCAATCATTCTACGGCAATAAAAAAGTACAAAACATTTATGTTGAGGTACCCAAAAATTTGAGGAAATAAACGAATAGAAAACAATTTTTTTTTTGTACTAGTAAATGATAGAACAATAATCTCGAAAGCATTTTGGGGGGGGGGAAGGGGGCTGGCTCGGGGGATCTCGGCGACCTGGCTAGAATCCATCTGGCCGATCCTAAACTCAGCATAAATCGCTCTCCAACGATACAGGTTTTAAAAAATTGATTGATTCCATCGATGGAATTAGTACTGAATTTAGGAACTTGTCCCAAACGTTTAATATTGTATATTAAATAAAACCTGTATCATTAAAAGGCCTTGCGTTAAGTACAGCGTTTCCACCTTATATATTTTTTTTTTAAATTTCCCTTGTGGTCAGTCAAATTTTCCCTTTTTTCCCTCATAATGAACTTAAAAATTCGTTCACACTTAAAAATCCCTCCCAAGTATATATAAAATAATATGTTATATTGTATAGTTGCATACAATTGGTTTATATTGTATCGTTTTATATTATTGGTTGGCGGTTCTTTAACTACGTATTACCGGTTATATCCAGATACTTTAAGATCTGCTTGACTAAATACTTCTTTCTTTTTTTCCCCTTTATTTTATTATGACTCTGATAGCATTCGAAGAGCTAATATTTTGAATTCATGGGCTAACAATAAAATAAATAAATTAAATAAACGAAAAACTCGAGTCTGCAGCATTGAATTAGTTTTATATTTTAAATATATATATATATATATAAAAACAAATAATTTAAATGTGTTAAAAAAAAGAAAGAGTCTATTTAATCTAATATATTAATTGAAAAAATATTTTTAAATAATATATTAAAACTATTAACATGAAAATTAATATTATAATCGTGGAAAATGCAAGCCCTACTGAATTGACCGCCAATTAAACAAGCCGCCATCTTTCCAGTGGAAATTTCCATTAAAACATATTATGAACTCTGCTAATATGTATATAATTTTTTTTTTCAAAAAATGCTGATTCAATTTATTAAGTTTACAATTTTGAATGTTCTGACTAACAATGGTATTTAATAAGTTTTATTCATCAATCTAATATAATTAAGTGTAAGTGCAATTAATTTTAAAAGTCGTTAATAAAATGTTTTAACATTACGAATAATTTTTAAACAAAAATGATTGAATTTCTAAATGAGACGAGAAGGTGGGGGAGGAGATAAGGGAGAGAACTTAAGCCCCATAAAAATTGAAAAATATACATTTTTTTCATTGGTTCATATAATTGAACCGACCCAAACATTTAAACAATCTCGATATTTCTGTTTTAAATTATAATTAATCATTATCTAATAAATATAAGCACGTATCTAAAAAATATGTAAACATTTTATCCATAAAAGCATCAATGTTATTGTAATTACTATTATTTAAAAAAAAAATGGTTCTAATTTCTTCAGTAATGGTTCCAATGGTTCTAATTCAAACTTAGATTCCAAAAAAAACGAATGCTAAATATGACAAAATATTGATTTTGTATCCGAAAAACCTGGTTTGAATTATTTATGTGATTCAAGTTAGGTTATATTCGCATTTACAATACGTAAATCGGTAAATTAATAAAATACATATTATGAAAAATATCTTCTAGAAAAACAAAAATGAAATTTCTTTTGCCTCCAGCACAAAATGTTAAAAATGCTTATTTAAAATTAAATTGAAAATTCCATTCCTACTGATAGAAAGAGATATAATACTTAGAATAATATAATACGCATAGAAGAAGATAAGTCGATAAATTAATTTTATTAAAATTAAGTTGAAATTACCCTCTTCCCTGATAAATATGGAAAAATTCGTAACGGAGAAAATATCTATAGCAAAATAAGCATGATATAAAGATATGATACAAAGAAAAAATTCATAGCAGCCTTAATTAGTGTTTTAGTAATTTATGGGTTAATAAGTTTGATATTCAGATAGGAGTCCTACAAATTATATTTATTTAAATATTATAACAATCATTTACGGCTATTATAATTGAGGAAAATTTTCTCTATTAAAATAGTAGGTGATTTACAATCAAGAGTTAGGGATAGGAAATGGCTGTCTTCATTCGGGCACAATCGGGTATTTTCGGAAATTGCGCGCCCTGAGTGATCGTGAACCGAACCCAACTTAGAGCAGCGAAAGAAAAAACTAGTGTTTTTTTTTATAATAGTTATTAAAAAGAAAAAAATATACTTATAAGGGTGATTTTTTTATATTTTTGATTGATATTTGTTCACAGAAGTTGTTTGTTCATAGAACATTCGTTAAATTTAAAAATAGAAGATAACATGATTGTTTAAGTATTCGGTCCAGATCACACATGGAAACAGACATTGAAAAATGAAAAAAAAAAACTTTGAAAGGGGTTCAGCCTTAAAATTTCTCCCCTCCCTCACATAATTCCGCTAGAAATAGAATCATGTTTATTATTTTTAAAAAATCGATGTATTAATATATTTTCCTCTTAACATGGCGAATTATTTAAAATTAAGAGTTACAAATTTGAAAA